GAAAAATAAGCATGCATGCCGTTGGGACCGGGGACGCAGCGATTGATGCACGGTTAAAAAGTCTCAGGTCAACTGGTGGCCTCTGAGGGTCAGGTCAAGTGCCCGAGGGCCAAAATTACGATTTCGGGTTTTGAGAAATAACATTGCCAAAAAACGGCGCAGAGTCGCGATCATGTTTGTCATGCTCCGGTGCGTCAAAATGGTTCACTTTTGTTTGGGTGGGGTCAACATAAGGTGTTCACATCGGGTCAAAGCCAGGTCAGAGGCACTCAGGTCACGAACTTGGTCGGAGGAGGTTATATAGTATATCATTCGATTCGGTAGGTCTTCCCGATTCTATTGGCGACTTTTCCAACTTGCCAGTTCAATTTTATCAGGAGTTATTGACAAACAAACTTGTGACCTTTGTGACGTCATAAATGACGTCACGCTAGGTTAAAGATGCAAAAGTGAATCATTGGACATTGCAAGAATTGCATGAAATTGCGATTCCATGTGCTTGAGCTAGGTTTAGATCATTCTCGGCGTCAAAATTACAGTTTCCATATTTTCTCCATTGACTTGTAATGGTGACGTCACGCGATCGGCCTGACCTCATGTGACCTCTAGGAGAAATCCGAGATACACAAGTTTTGAGACTCCTAGAGGATACTAGGTCCTGTAAGTAACATCTCGCTGTGACAGCTCCTCTGGCACCGAGGGCATTGCGAAGTTTCGGTATTTTGGGACTGCTGCAGAGGTTCACGTGTGACGTATTGTATTGTATTGTATTTTACATCATCGGCACTCTTCCACTCAAGGTGGCTATTCCGAGCCCTCGTCAAAACAGTAAGCGCGTTAAAAAGACACAAACAGTTAAACCTGCAAAAGTATAAAAGCACGCTAAAACTAAAAGCACAGCTAAAATGTTTGTATGGTCGCCTATCCATCTAGCTGACTTGGTGACTTTTAATACCTTTCTTAAAGCGCGGACCAGACATGACCTGAAGCTCCGTTCCTATAACATGTTCGTTGTACAGTTTACACGCTCGCTGCTTAAAAGTTCTTTGGCCAAGGCTGGTTCGAACACGCGGTATATACATGTAAATGACCGGACTGCCTAGTCTGGCGCTCGGAAACATCTCTATTGTACGATATGTCCTGTCGCAGTACCTCAGGCTCACCCCTGCTAATCACCCCGTGTAGCAGACATACGTCGTTTGTCAATCAACGCACTGACGGGGAGCCACTCCAAATTCCTAATCACGTCGGACACATGATCATACTTCCGTCTGCCAGATATCACTCTGGCAGCAAAGTTTTGCACTTTCTGCAGTCGCTTTAAGCTCGTTTTGCTGGCACAGCCGAATACCTGACTACAATAGCGCACATGTGACATGACTAAGGCGTCCAGTATAGTCGGAAGTACACTTGGAGGAAGCACATGCCTGGCGTGCATCAGGCCGACAAGAACGCCTAAACATTTGGTGACGATATAATCAATGTGTGGTTCAAAGGTCAGTCGGCTATCAAAGATTACACCTAGATTTTTAACAGTTGACACCGGTTGCAGAGTTTCTCCCAGGAACTGCACTCGGACCGGATCCCTCTCGGCAGCCTGTAGCGCCGATCGGCCTCCGGCGACCATCATCTCGGTTTTTGCAGCGTTTATCTTCATGCCGTTCTGGAGAAAGTAGGTGGCCAGAGTGTCCAGGACACCCCCCAGTGCAGTCTGGATCTCTGGCAGCCTCTCCTTGGGTCCTGAGACGACCAGCTGGGTGTCATCGGCATACCTGGCCATCCTGACCAAACTGCCATTCACCTCGGACGGCACGTAGCAGGCGGCGCCGATGGATGCGATGTTGTACAACATCGGTCCCAGGCAGGATCCCTGGAAGATGCCGATGTTGATGGGGAGCAGCGTCGATCTCTCCCCTCCTGGCACTTGAACACACTGCTTGTGTCCGGTGAGATAGCTCCGAAACCAGCCCGGGTCTATCTGAAGCAGTTGAAGTTGATTCAGCAGGGTTTGATGGTCCACAACATCAAACGCGCGGCTGAGATCAATCAGCGTCAGGATGCTGATGTCGCCCCTGTCTGCTGCTTCCAACAAGCTGTCGTTCTCACTGACGAGTGCTGTAGCGGTGCTGTGCTTTTGTCTGAATCCATGCTGCTCCAGGCTATACAGATGGTTTCGGTTTAGATAGCCATCAACTTGACGGCAGACGACCTTTTCGACAATCTTACTGATAACAGGAACGTTGGTGATGGGTCTGAAATTTCCTGCAGTGCTCAGGTCACCTTTTTTGTGCAGCGGTATGACGACTGCGGTCTTCCAGCTATCTGGTACCGACTCCGACACGATGCTCTTGTTGATTATTTGCAGCAAGATCCGTCCAACAACGGGAAAGCTCAGCTTCAGCACCCTGATGTCGATGGCACCATCAGCGAGCGATGATTTGTCTGGCAGAGAGTATATGATGCGTCTCAGCTCCTCCAGAGTGATCGGGGTGAGTCGCAATGCGTCAGAGTGGACGCGAGGGAGACGGGCAGCCAGAGAACGTCTCCCAGACTCCTGGAACGTCCGGATGACGGCCTGGTGTGTTTCCTCTCCCACGGTGGTGAAGTATGAGTTGAGGTCATCTGCTGACAAGTTCTCAGGCCGGGCCGGAGCGCCGCGCTTCGGCGCAATAACTGCACGCAGCTGCCGCCAGAGGCCCGATGACGGAGCTTCTTCGACTCGTCGAGAGATGTCGCTACGGTAGTCCCGTCTGATAGCGCGCTTCACTTGGGAGTTCAGAGATGCGTACCTCTCCTTGTCATCGGCAGCGATGGCTTGTCGACGTTGGATGATCAGGTCACGGGTGTCATCTGAGATGACACGTCATAAGTCAGTGATCTGACCTGAGACGGAAATGCAATTGGTTTCCAAAGATGCGTATGGAAGCAAAGATAAGGTGCGCCAAATAGCAGCCCTCTAGCTGTAAGGTGTTTTGAGCTATCGCCAAAAGTCGTGAGTGGAGCGCTACTGACTCCTCCGGTCGGCCGCCGGGGGTTAGGAGGCGTGCAGGGTATCGGAAAACCACCTGGTACTTTGCGAATGTTGCCGATAAAAATACGTTTCTTATGCCGACTTATAGCCAAAAGACGACTGAATCTCAAACCAGTCGTATCCTTGCACTAAATGGCTTGGTTTAGACACGATAGGTCTGAAAAGAAAAGGTCCCATGCAGTGTTCTAAAATTGGATATTGGTTGGGTGTGCCGATGAAGAAAAAAATCCTAGGATGAGAAAAAAGGAAGTAATTAACTGAAGTATTTTTGCAAAATGGTGTAAATGCCAATTATTATGCCAACTGATAAACCAGGGTTGCATGTCAGGATCTTGACAGGGTGTACAAAAGGATGTGGGTGCATCATCTGTCAAGTAACATGTAAACTGGCTGTTGGGAATACATGAAACTTTTTTTTCAGAGATGAAGTGAAGTCGGTCATTCATATTTTCCCTAGGGATGAAAATATTTTCCCCATTAGGTGTGATTTCCCACCAAAAAGTCTGAAAAATGGAACACTGGTCCCATGTATTCTCTATGGGCGCCGCGAGGCCGTTGGCACCAGAGTTTCGGGAAGTGCCCTCGCCACAACCGCACGTGCAGATTTGGTCACGTGACCAAGCGCATTTGCCGCCACTGTATTTATATACACTGTGGTGAACCAAACGTTCGGCTAAGAACAACAGTTGTGTGAGAGCAGTGAACATCCAAAGCGCACTGTGAAATGACTGGACGTCGCATCCTATGTGCCCGGCAATCGGTGCGAAAGCGGGGAACCACGGTCAATTATTTTGATGAGTGACGACCGGGAGTTCTACAATCGCTTCAGGTTCGATAAGAAATCTGTTCGCCATCTTATCGACTTATTTGAAAAAGACATCGATTCTGAGGGTAGTCTTTGCCCAACATCAGCTGAGACCAAGAAACTCGTGACCCTGCTGCCTGCGTTCCTTACTAGTAATTCGTTTCAGGTCATAAGGCCAAGCGGCTCGGCTAAAGGCAGAGTAAACGAAACAGTATGGCAAGTCATTCCACGCATAGCTGACAGAAGGGACGAGATCATCCGGATGCCTACGGGGCACGAAATGACGCAAACTATAGTCCATTTTTTTCAAAAGGCGCACGGCCCGAAACATTTTTATAAATGCCACGTGCTAGAAAAGTAAAATGCCACAAATCGAGAGCAATGTCGTATTATTTTAGGAACCTGACGGTCTCGACGGTCACATCGGAACGGATTATCTTTTTACATTTTTATAGACTTTACATTTTATCCTGTTTTTATGCATTTTACACCTGTTCATTTGTTTTTGTGTGTTTTCAAATGGTACACTGAAAACAATTTAACCCAAGGCTGACGAGTAAACCGGTGTTTTACGGGTACCCCTATCCGCAACCATTTTTAACCACCCTCCCAGGAGTAGTGCTAGGTCCCATTGCGGTGTAGTCGTACTTGCTCTGAGCGGATATAACCGCTGTCAGCGAACAAGTCCGCTGAGAGCAGGGACGACTACACTGCAATGGGACCTTACTGTACTCCAGGGAGGGTGGTTAAAAATGGTTGCGGATAGGGGTACCTGCAAAACACCGGTTTACTCGCGGGCCTTGGGTTAAATTGTTTTCAGTGTAGTTTTACAATGTCAACTTCATCGAAGCTAGCGAGCGGCACACCCTTGAACATCCAAGCAAGAAAAATAGTAAACAACGTTTTTGAGTTTTGCTGCGAAGAGACAGTCAGAAGTTTGTGCCAGACTCCTGTGACCAGCTCGGCCAGTTCCTTGTGCCACCTACACAAGTCAGACGCCGAGTGAGCCACCTGACTGGAGTGTCCGAGCGCACCATCACTCGCATCGTTGCCGAATGTAAACAAGGACAGCTGAAGACTCCGAAGAAACGCGCAACATGGCACGGAGCAGTCAGCAGCGTCGATGATTTTGACATCGCGGCTATCAAGCGCCTCGTAACCAGGATGTACGACCAGGGAGAGAGGGTGACTCTGGACACCCTCCTCGCACGTGTCCAGGAAGACCTAGCCACGCTGGACCTCAGCCGAAGTTCACTCCGGAAACTGCTTCTCCAGAACGGCTACCGCTTCCGAAGCGTCGACAAGCGTCGCATCCTCATGGAAAAGCCTGCTGTGGTCTCAGCCCGCGCCTCTTTTCTTCGAACCATGCGCAGTATCCGGGCAAGTCATCCAGCCAGACCTATTGTCTATCTTGATGAGACATGGTTTAATCAACACGACTATGATGCCAAGTATTGGCTGGATGATCAAGAATTCACCGGACACAAGACGGTCATCGGAAAAGGAAAGCGATTGGTCATCATACACGCCGAATCCAGAAATGGCTTCGTGTCGAACTGCTTCCGCGCCTTTTGGTCCGACGGCAAGCTGGCAGACTATCACGAGTCTATGAACTCCGAGTACTTTGAAGAGTGGTTTTCAAGCCTCATCAAGCAACTTCAGCCGAACTCAGTGATTGTCATGGACAATGCCAGCTATCACTCCAGACAGCTGGACAAGCCTCCGACAGCCGCTTCGAAGAAAGAAGATCTAAAGGCGTGGCTCTTTCACAACGACGTGCCGTTCGAGGAGGACATGCTGAAGGTTGAGCTTCTGGAACTTGTCAAGAAGCACCAGGGGAAGCCAACGTACGCCGTGGACGACATGGCTGAGAGAAGCGGGCACAAAGTGGTACGGCTGGCACCATACCACTGTGTCCTGAATCCGATCGAACTGATCTGGGCACAAGTGAAGGGCTACGTCAGAAAGCACAACAAGTCTGGAAGGATGGAGGAGGTGAGGAAGCTGGTGGAAGCTGCTGTGGAGGAGGTGACGCCTGTCATGTGGGAAAAGTGCTGCGACCACGTCTGCAAGCTGGAACAAGAGTTCTGGACCAACGATAGGCTCATGGACGATATCGGCCCGTTCACCATTGACCTGAGAAGTGACAGCTCAGACAGCTCCGATGGAGACGAGGAGTAGGGTGTGCCAGTCGAGCCGGTGATTTTGTTTCCTGTGTTCTTCGTGTTTGTGTTTCCTGTGTTCACAACTCGAACGTTTGGACATCGAAACGTTCGAGCTGTGTTTCGTGGTTTTTGTTGTCATTGCCTAGCTCGATGTTTCAGTGAGTTTTGCTGACTGAACCAGTCAGTTGTAATTGTTCAGTTTTGTGTTGGAGCTCCCTCCCCTTTGTTTTGTTCCCTGTTAACAAAATAAACAATCATCTGTGTTTTACTTTCTTCATGACTCAAAAGATCATATGATCAAACATCGTGAGCGGCATTACTCTAGGATAATTACCCAGGTCCGCCATTATCACCAAAAGTTGGTGTGGCTTAAGATTTTAACCCTCGCGGGCCCCGGAGGGCGTTTTTCGTCCTCCCCCCCCCCCCAGGGCAATATTTGCGATAGCTCCCAAACACCTAGGGATAGAAAGACGAAACTTTCAGTACCTTATCCCCCTATTGATTACCTACCATCAAAATATTTCAAAACATTTTGAAAAATTAGTGTTCAAGATATATGAACAAGTGCAAAGTTTGAGGTCAATTTTGAGCATGACCTTGACCTTAACCTTGAATGTTAACCCGCGCCCCGTAGGGCTATCGGCGGACCCTACCACCCGTAGGGGGGGGGGGGTTCGGCCCCCCTTAGATCTCGGAAATTTACCGGCTGATTTTCAAAATTCAAACGGCGTTCGATAGCCCCACCCCGGAACTACCTTGTGACTAAATTTCATTGACCTAGGTTAAACCGATGACGTCACAGTTCAGGTCAAAGGTCGGATTTTCACCGTTCGCAGGCATTTCAAGAAATGTGTTGTGAAATCGAGTAAATTGGTAATTTATTGAAAACCATCGATGGTACATTGTTCGTCAAACACAAACTTTGCTATTGACTGAGGTCACTGATACCAGGTCAGGTCAAAGCGAGGTCAGGTCACCGGGGGTCACAATATGAAAGTGTCGTGTGATGCATGTTTTATGGTCCAGTTTGCATGACAAATGCGATTATGTGGGTCAGGCATCCTTTGGGGCCAGCCTAGGTCACGTTTTGGTGAAGGTCAGGTCAAGGTCAGGTTAAATTAGGTCAAATTTCAAAGTTGATATTTTTGCATAAAATGGGTATCGATTCGATGCAGCTCGTCACGGGGAGTCTAATTTGGCTATAACTTGGCCAAAAAACGAGGTATTGATCTGAAATTTGGTATGTAGATAGAAGAAGGTAGGTACTATCACATATATTCCGTTTTTTTAACTCAAAAAACTTTTTTTGAGTTTTTGGGTAATATATCCAATACAATGTTTTTTTTAATTTTGGGGGTCAAAACTCATAAATTTCAAAAATCCGAGATAGCAGTTTTGTAGCCCTGTCAATTCTACACCTTTTATGTACTAATCATTTTTCTGTATCTTCAAAGCTGTAGGCCTGACAGGACTTCTCGCGAAGGTCTTTTTTCGGTCGAAAATGACAGAACATGACGTCATTCTGACGTCATTTGTGGCCAACCTATCAAAGCCTCTGGAAATTTTTGGTCAGAATGTGTAAAATTGATGCCCGGAGGGGTCCTGGAAGTTTGGTGGCGATATCTTGAGCCGTTTAGGAGATATCGACGGAAAAAGGACAGGGGGCCGTTTCGCCCCCCCCCCCCCCTACGGGGTGCGGGTTAAGCACACCATCGGAATCCTCAGACCCTCTTCCTTCGTTTATCACCCATTTTAGCCGGTTTTATGCATCATGCCACCCTCCTGAGACCTGAGTCACTTAGTTTGAGATCACTACATGTGCTGGTTTTTGCCTTTGACCTTGACCTTGAAAATTGACCTGAGGTTAAACAATTTAAGGTGCCTTAGAATTGTCTTGTAGAGACCTTTCGTTCGTTACCGCTTTTGTTTCCGTAGCGGCCTTATTTACGGAGTTAGACGGGGGGCGACCCCCCCCCCCCGGCTGTGGTGGTTGGGATTACCCCGGGCTCGGCCGGGCTAAGGCTGCCGAACTGCATGTACCCTGGCCAAGTCCTGGTCCTGACTGAGCCAGCCTTGACTGAGCCACATGCGACACCACTATCATAGCCATCAACAGCCTATGTACGGCCTTGAGCGATCATCAGACAGGGCCAGACAGGGCACTACTACGATCAATCTAATTTCAAAGTGTTTGTTGATTTTTGTAAACGTTGCTTGTGTGCACGTGATGACTTCAAAATCATGTTTCGGGCCGTGAGCCTTTTGAAAAAAAATAGACTATAACCAAGCTTTTTACGACCTCAGCGGCATACCAAGGCCATCTATAGAAGGTACAGTCACTCCCCCGCCGACCAATCAGAGACAGATCCTGAGTGACGTCACCCCTGATGCTCGAAAGGGGTACTCCATTCCTTTACAATGTAAAAATGACTAACTTCATTTGAAGATTGTTGGTGACACTCTACTTAGTTCGCTCAACCATTGATGTCATTGGAAAGTCAAACTAGTTTTCTAGCGATAAAAACGAGCAGCAATATGCTAAGAAATGGCCGGTTTTGAAGATATGGACGATTTAAAAACCCTCTGAAGTTGCACGAAAGCAACGTAAAAACGCATCGAGCTTATATTTTTACTATGAAAAAATCATTTTTCAGTAAGCTTTTAGATATGGTATCAATTTATTCAACAACTTTATTACAATATTTTTATTACTTGGAACTTTATTTCAAAATAATATTTTAAAAAATGGCAACTGTTGGCAAGTAGCTTTGAAGCGATTGTGGCGCGCCGCGCCATTATTGTCCTGAGGCCCCCATATGATGTCATCAAAAGTGGAGTGACATGGGCCTGCGGCAGAGTGGTCGATTTCACTGATTGCACCCATGTTAAGGAAGACGTGTGTGATGAGGGAAAATCGTCTTCATTGACGGTTATATATCTGCGTAATACAGCAGTCTATGGTAGGATGGGGTGATTTGGCCGCTTTTTTAGGAAGCGCTGTGGCTCGAAATTGGCGACATATTTGTGCACTCTTTCAACGCTGGCAGGTGTAACATTCGTTTTGCTATCTTGTACAGTAAACTGAAAATGATAGAGGAACTAATTATACCTGAATTTTAACGTTTTACAAAGGACTGCAAAGCGGCTTAACCCTAGAACGCCTGGGGGGGGGTTGTATCAACCCCCCCCCCCTGAGGTTTTTTCGAAGTGCACGCTAAACGGCTTGTCGTAGCGGGCTGAAATTTTCAATACCCTCTGGGGCAACCTTTGCGCATCTTTTGCCGAAAAAAATTGATCGGGTCATGTCAGGTCACGGAGTTATGACGTCATAAGAGGTACAGCCTCCGGCCGACAGTTACCAAACGTGTGCGCCGAATCCCTAGGTTTTCTGCCGGTGATACCCACATTGTTTGATGGATCATGATGAAACTTCCCATGCATGTTGGGGCAAGCATTGGCTATCGTGTGGTGCAAGAAAATTGACCGGGTCAGGTCAGGTCACGGAGCTATGACGTCACAAGAGGAACAGCGTCCGGTACTATTTTTGAAAAGCGCCCGAACCACTATTTTGCTAATTCTTGTCACCTCAATGGGAATATGCAACAATATTAGCTTCTATAGGGAGCAAATGGACCTCCCAAATCCAAAATTACAATCAGATTTCAAAAATTTAAATTTTGATTTTTCGAATTTCTGCCGCCGACTGTGACCTTGCCGACTTCCGGCGCTCCCAACGCGCCATTTTTAGAGCTAGGGAAACGAAATACATACCAAACGATAGAGAATTGATCAAGGAACACGATAGTGAAGGTTTCAAGTCGATATCTCCCACCGTTTTGCCGCAATCGCCGCGGAAATTTGAAAAAGTTTGATTTTTTTTCGGAAAATTTGACCTTTGACCGGTCATAAGTAGGTCAAATGTTGACCTAGGACCAAAAAATATACCACCAATCGCGAGATCTCGTTGAGAGCAATCCGTTGATTTTTTCCGCTAAGCTCTACGACCTTCCGTTTTGAAACGCCAGGGGGGGTCGTAACACCCCCCCCCCCTGGTCGTTCGTGTTATGAGAAATGGCCTGGTCGTGCGAGGGTTAAGTGCCCCGCTAGCAGGGGTAGTTGGCCGGTGGGGTGGGGTGGAAATTTGGCCGGTGTTTATCTAAGGCCAAGATTCAAACAGATCAGGTTGGGACGCTAGTCACGTGATCCGTTTCTCTGCTTTTTCCAACCCTATTCACGATTTTCATAAGCCTTGATTTATTCTTGAAAGACTTTGCACAGAGGTGTTTGTAGTTAATTTATTTACAAAAACTAAATCAATGATATTTTAAATTGACAAACACATTTTTACTCGCAATCTCAAACAAAAGTTGAATTTACTCGCGTTTCATTACTTTAGTCAGCTGGCAACAATCACCCATCGGCCTCGATGTAGTCGAACTTGGCGCACTCTGATAGTGTTCGAAATTTGTGACGCTTACTTGTTGCTATGGCGACCGGGCAGTAGGTACAGGTCTCGCGGGTTTAGCGGTAGGTTTTGCACCTAGAAAGTTTAGTGTACTTCAGGCTATATCTTCGTCGTCTTAAGCTTTTAAGTGTTGAAGATGCAATCGACTTGTTGGGTAACAAGCCGGCCATGATCGTGTAAAATGGCTTCATCGTAGATCGATTAGTTTCTGAGATATAACCGGAAATGTAAAAGTGCAAAACCTACCGCTTAATCTCGCGAGACCTGTACCTACGCTTTTCATTCGTCAACCAGTGCTTGCGGAGCTGCCGCTCACACTTTTGAACACAGTCTTGATGCGTCAGTTTGTGTGACGCGTCGTATCTGAAATATGTTTCGTGAGGTTCCAAAACCATTCAATTCATCTCCTTCAAAAGAAGTGTTTTTAACATTTTCGATGTTTTTGGGCTAATTGCTAGCTCCATTCATCCTATCTTGCGTGAGGATAGTCATCACTCGGGGACCAGTCGTTGAAAGCAAGAAAAAGCGAGGAGAAGGTCTTGTAAAAAGTC